TATAGGTTTCTTAATACTATGGTCGTACAAAATCAATATCCTGAAGTAATGTTTGAATCTAATCTATCTTTAACCATTATACCTGGCAACGCATTTACTCACTTGAACACCACCTTGTAAGAAGTGATGCGTACTCTTCTTTTTCCTCTATATATCCCCTGATTTTCCCATTGTAACCCACTATTTTCCCATGTTTCTTCTAGATGTTCCCTTACATCCTTACATCATTCCCTAAACTGCTCATTCTAAGTTATCCCCAAAGATTACCAGTATTGTTTCACACTTCCACCCTGGCAGATACGGCTTGGAAGATTGGTTTCAACTAAAAAAAGGCGATGTTCAGGGTCGAACTCTTAATTCACCAGAGGCTAGTATAGACATGGTATGATCGTCCATAACATGGTATTATATTATACTACTTTAACATCTTTAACCTAACCTGGTTATGCAAGATCATAGTACTACACTTCTGTTAGGTTATGTTGTGTTACCCTCTGGTAATTTAACATAGCTATGGAAAATCACCATGCTTTTAATGGGAAAACTCACTATTTCTATGGCAGTTTTCACTAGCTATGTAACAAATTACCAGAGGGTAACTAATCATGAATGCTGATTCAACCTTGGTATTGATGGGATCCATGTTGCCATATATAGCAGCACCATGGATCCGTCATGGGTTACTTGGTGGTTCATCCCACGGCTCGTAAGTGAGTTATAACCCCAATTATTTCAGTGGATTAACCCTCCTTATCCCATGTAAATCACTGGGGTTATAACCCATTTACGAGCCATGGGGGTGAACCACCAAGTTAGTCATTACCAGATATCCCACTAATATCCCCATTAATATTCATTAATATACTATTTTTATCAACCAGAGGCTAGTTCGATGATAAACATTTTGACAAAATCAGAGGCTAATCCGAGCGTCGAAGACGGCATGCGTCAGGTAGACCAGCGTCAAAGCGACCACCTACGTGGGCTGTGCGTGCGTGCACCGATGTGATGTTTGGAAAGGTATAATAAGGGTAAGGGTTGAACAATAGTTGGTTAAAACATACTAATCTACTAGTTGATTTTGAACTATATAGTTGGTTTATACATCCATAAACTAGTTCGTATCAACTATAGCTAGAGTTTAAAGTGACCTATTAGTTGGTGAATTCTATGGTGCATGGTTTGTAAACTTCATGAATACTGTAGAAAAAATATCTACCAGAATCTACCTAAAACAACACAGAAATCATCCAAAGTGAACTAAACCAACATATAAATCAACTTAGCTAAGTAGGCTTGGAGGATGAGACATAGATTATTTATGGATAAATCACACCCTCTGGTAAACGTCTACATAGTTATTGAAAATAATTATCTTTAATAGGTAAATCAACTAGACATGGGGCATTTTCAATAGCAAACTGTTTGTTTACCATAGGGTATATCATAAGGATATAATGATATTTAAAGGAACATATTGTAGGAATTGATCTTCTTATCCATCTTGGTGCACATAGCATCAAATAATTCGGTGAACTCTATGGGTTATGGTATATATATGTATATTTATATGTATATATACATATACATACATATATATATAACACATATATATATATATATCAAATATATATATATATATACACCATATATCGAACTAGTGATGGCATGTGATACCTTTATAGACCAAGAAGATCCTAGAAGGTGAATTCCGATCAATAGTGATACAACATGATACAACCACATGCGGTGCTGGATGATTTCATGGCTGATCAATCTTCCACCATGGAGCCCCTAGGCCCAGCGAAAAATCACCATTCTTTGGATCTTCGGCAAGTCCCGACTTAACTCATGGTCACATTATATCACATTATATCACATTATATCACATTATATCACATTATACCACATTATATCACATTATATCACACTATATCACATTATATCACATTATATCACATGAAATCACATTTCTCTAAAATCACTCATCATATAAAATGTGGATCATAATGTGGATCATAATGTGGATCATAATGTGGATCACAATGTGATATAATGTCGATCATCATGTGATGTATCACTCATTTATCACATCGAACCTCCGTTTTAACTTACATTACCCATAGGATCCATGGTGCTGCCATATATGGTAACATGGATCCCATTCATATACCCCCAGTCATGTTAGCATTCATATACCAGCACCATGGATCCCTTTTTGGGATATGGAGGTTTCCTGAAATGGGGGGTACCCCTAAATCATCCATTTGAGATTGGGATTTTCCATTTTAATATATTTTAATATATTATATATTGTATATATATATATAATACACCTTCTTGTAATTTTCCAACCATTTAATAGGATTTTCATGGATTTTCCATTTTAATAGGATTTTCCATGAAATAAACCATCCATTTATAGGTTAACAAATTTTCCATTTCTCACCGCTTCGCCTCCGATGCAGCGTTGTCAAACCTGAGGAGTTGTCAGAAGCATCGATTTATCCGATGGGAAGAGCAGATGTATGGCGAATTACCAGGTGAAAATGGTGAGCTAACCAGCCAACATCATTTAACCTCTGGTAAACTAACATAGCTATTGAAAATCACCATTTTTAATGGGAAAATCAACTATAAATGGCAATTTTCAATAGCTATGTTAAATTACCAGAGGGTAACCATGAAAAACACATGGGAATTCAATGGAATTAACTATTGACATGCGGATTTTACCTTGAACAAATGGTGAGCTCACCAAGGACAAAGTAGATTTCATGAAGGAAAATTGCGATTTAAAACATGAACAAAAATGTGCGGTTCCTGAAGCTATCCTTGGTAAGCAATGGCTCTATGAAACAATGTAGGCTTTCATACTAGGCTTCTGTGAAGCTAAGTTGTCGAAATGGTTGGTGAAGCCCAATTTGATGGCCATGAAAACATCGGTCCAGTGCTCCGCGGTGTGGTGAATGTAACCCCTGGTGAACGTGAGTCACCTAAGTGGATTTCCATCTATAAATGGATGACCTATTGAACTATGGGCTATTATATAAAGTTTCTTAATATGGTTATTAACTAACTAACTATGGTTATTAACATATATTAACATCTATTCACCACTAAAAAAACCATGGGATCCAAGTTACTTGATCCCCTGCATGGGAAAACTCAGTTAACTCAGCACTTGGCCAAATCAAGGCAATCTGCGAGCTCAAGATGACATAGACACCTAAGGAAGGCTCGCGAGACGGAGAGTTCTGCGAGGCGTTTTCGGATGTTCGGAGGAGTCCGGCGGTTAAAAAAGGGCTTCAATGGGGTATATATACTATATATATATATATATACATACGTATATATATAATATATATATATATGATATTCTGCGGTTATGTCGTTATGTGGTGTCATATTTGGATAAATTGTCATGATCCACCTAAAAGAAAGGAGATTCTGGGATGATTCCTCCAACCCTAAGCCCTCCAGGATCACCAATCTCCGCGTGACTTTTTGTTTCGTGGGGCAAAAGCCCCAAAAGGGCGCGAATGGACTGGTACCTGGCTGATCTAATATTCCTTTTACAATCTGATTTCATGAGATATTCTGAGATTATGAGATATTCAAATCTGTGATGCTAGTAAGAAGTGGGATTTGTAATTTGTAATAGGTATAAACATTATAAACCCATCATTGCTTAATAAGTATAAACCCAACAATGATCAACAATGTAAACCCAATGCCATAAACCAATCCCCAAGTGATCACATGCTTGGTACCATCTCCAAATGAGAGCTTTATTGGGTTTCCGACATCTTTTTTGGCAGACCCAGGACAGCTTTCGATGCCTACAATTGCCATTGTTTGGAGGATGAAGGTCCATTTACCAATAAACAATTAATTACCAGCTATCTGATTTTTGAGCCATTTCCATTTCAGGTTGTTTGGGTGGACAGTTCGCTCTTCCAACTAAATATCTGGAACAAATGGAAGTTGCAATAAGTCATCATAATATGTCATGATTTGCAATAACTCCTAAAATCAATTTATAAGTTCTAAACCAGATTTGAAATAAGTAAAAACAAAAAAAACCTAAGTCTGGTTTGGGACTTATAAATCTGGTGTTTAGTCAATCGCAAATAGAAATAAATCTGAGCAGCAGTGTTCAATTCTTCTATCAATCCAGTATACTGGTTGGTTAAGAACGGAATTCCCAGTTCATGGATTATGATAATCAAATAATTTGATATACAATAGACTGCATACAAATTCTATAATATTATGCATTATACTGCATTTCGATCCTATATGGTTATAGATACAAACGATATATAGGTCATAATTCTATGTTTTGGGGATTATCAGGATATATGGTCGTTTAGATATATATATAGGTCATAATTCTATATGGTCATAGATGGGATAATCTTACTGGTGCTTAGCAGGGAATGAGGGAATGATCCACAGTAACTATCAACAATCATCCCATTCCCCCATTCCCATCCATTCCCTGCTAAACACCAGTAAGTTATAGATGGGATAATCCCCCAAATAGAAAAAATAGTCACCCCACCAATCATGCACTGTAATAATCAACCCATAAGATCGAAATGTCGTTTTTTGCCGCCACTGCTCAACTGCTCAATCATCAAATGGGATTAAATAAGGTTTTATTCATATTAATTAAGATCAGCATTAATATTATCATAGATATTAAACATATTAGATAATTTACTTAATGATGTTTACTTAATGATGTCATATCATCAATCATCATATAATGTTTTATTAATATGAACAACACATATTTGTTCTCTAGTGCAACATATTTTCCATAAACCACTATTATATACCCTCTGGTAAACGTTTACAAAACTATGGAAAATCACCATTCATTATGGGTAAATCAACTATAAATGGCCATGTTCAATAGCAACGTGTTCAATTACCAAAGGGTAAATCCCATTACATCCCATTAAATCACCATAAATTACCATGAATCACTCCAAATAATTAACAAATCATCTTCCAGTCCATCTGCGCCGGTGAGACGGATGTTCAACTTGCCACGACCCTTCACCCAACTTGTGCAGGGGTGACAACCTCGCATGGCGCCAAAGAATCAGCGACTTAGTCATACCCAAAAAGATTGACAAGGTAAGTGTTTCCCGATTTAAAGAGTGAAGATTAGTGAAGATGAACTTGTCTCTTCTATATCTATTATGGGTTGCTATACATATATATATATAATTATGTATATGTTAGTTTATTTCATCAATGTTTCACTGTTGGCCTTATCCCAGCTAGAAACCCTGCACATCCACCACAGAAAGAGTCATAGGATGTCATAGGTTTAGCCTTATCCCCATGTGATGAGGTAGAGAAGGCATCGGTAGAACTTAGCGGTTGTGCCGTTGGAAAAAGAAACTTGATCAGCAACTTAGAGATACAGAGTGCCAAATTATTCTGGGGGGAAGCTTCGCACCCTACTAAATAGACCCTAATACTAAAAACTCCTCCAAGTGCTTATTATTTGGGGGGGAATCCAGGTGTTTATTATTTGGGGGGGAACCGTTTAGTAATAGGGGGAAGGGATTAGTCAATAGTCAATAGACAAATTAATTGTTCCACTGTCACTAGTAACCATTTAAAACCAGGAAAATTACATAAAAATACCGTAGTTATAACATGTTGTAACCACTCAGAAGCATCAAACCGACTTCGAGAAGGCCTCAAACCCTCATGTTCTCCATGTCTCCGAGAAACTATTTACACCAGGAGCAACGCATTGATGCAGCCATCAATATCCTCAGTGATAATTCATGCGGGAGTCGAACGGCACAGTCGAAGCCCTATTTCCTGAAAATCACCAAGCCTTGAATAAAGGCAAAGTACCCACCATCTACCCACTGGTAAACATTCACATAACTATGGAAAGATCCACCATTTCCTAGCTGGGTAAATCCACTACTTCTATGGGCCATGGCTTCAAGTTCGCAAACTGTAAACGTTTACCGGAGGGTACCCAGATTCGCCCCAAGCCCACAGATTTTCGAGGGGTTTGTTGAATCCTTATCGTATTCCATCAATTTCTTAATCTTCACATATCCTCAGTCAAATTACAATAGTCTTAATATCTTAATAATATCTTATATTTCATAATCACAAATAACGATATATAACGATCTTCACTAAATTACTATTCTACAAAGAATAATGTCTCCAATCCTGTCTTGGGCTGGTCACATCTCCTTTTTTCCCATGGCCAGGACTAAATCCCGTGGGTGACGAGGTATGAAGTGACTGAAGTGATCAGTCGGATAAGTCCATAGCCATGGTCTACATGGGATAGCTATGAGCTATGAGCTATGCTCAATGGATTGGCTTCGTTGGGAACATCTTAACCGGAAAACCATCGATTTTCCCATGAAATATTGGGATGTTTCCTGTAATTTTCCCATGAAAACCAATCCATTTATATACGCATTCAATGGAAAATCCAAACATACTGGGTATATGGGGGTTTCCATAAATGGGGGATCCCCCAAAATGGATGGTTTAGTTCATGGAAAATCCCAATCTCAAATGGATGATAACTAGGGGTAACCCCATTTCAGGGAACCTCCATATGAATCCCAAAATCCAAGGGCTTAATCCTTACGGTTGACCATGACACACCTGATTTCACAGCGGGCTTCGGGTGACCTAACAAAATCACCATATCAGAGCGATGGCAGAAAATCATACCACCGAAACAGCTACGAAAAAAAACAAACAAACATGGTTTCGTGCCGAGTGACCTTAAACCAACTCATTGAATTTATTGAATCATCCATTTCCAAATGGACTCTAATATTCATATATCATCATATATCACTGGTTGGTGGTTGACCTACCCCTCTGAAAAATGATGGACTGAAAGTCAGTTGGGATGATGAAATTCCCAACTGAATGGAAAAAGAATCCATTCATGTTCCAAACCACCAGCCAGTAATTCTTATCATAAATATACCCATTTTCCATCGGGATTCCAAGATATTTTTCCATTAACATACCCAGAGGATCCATGGTGCTGGAATATTTACCTACATTGACCCCTAAAGTATTTTTTTCAATAATCCCAGGTAAATATTCCAGCACCATGGATCCTTAGGGATACATAACATACCATGCGCCTTGGTCCGTCCAATAGCTCCAAGCGTCGGGGTTGTTGGTGACCTGCGCGTACTTGGCAAAGATCACCTTCCCCGTCTGCGTCACCAAACCCAACTCCGACACGTTCACCTCGATGATCGTACCTCGGTTTGGCGGGAGGATATTCCACGATGGCGAAGCAACGTTAACGTTTAAAAAGCTACAGGGAAAACATGAGTGTAACGACATTACTACGTATAAAATCTACAATGCCAATTGTGTAATGTGGGATATATTGGATAATAATCACCAAAAATGGGCAACTGACCGAGAAACAGTAAGTAGAGGATATAGAGGTTGATTTGTAACACACATTTTCAGTAGGGTTTATAGTTTATACCTGAGAGCCAACAATTAGTTTTGTTAGTTTACCAGGCCGAGTATGTTTTCCATAAAGTTCCAAGAATTCCAACTGAATTTCGATGATTCCCAGTCCAGCCAGTTGTGTCTCATGAACCTACCATGAACCAGGGGTCTATCCGCTATCAGATTAAGCACAGTAACCATTACGCAACAGGCAACTCGGTTCCGTGTTCAAAGATTGTCAGGGTCCATGTTCAAGCCCGAAGCTAGGATTTGATCTGTACATACGTGTTATTATTCCAATCAGGTCCAACAGATTTAAGATATTCCCAAACATGTGGCCTCAGATACCATCCAGTAAAAAAACAACAAACTCACAAACAATGCGGAAAATCCACCATATAGATCATGAAGCCGGGGAACAATCGTAGCTTTTGGTATGTATGTTGGAAGGTAGTACTCCCTATCGTTGATAGATATATGGCTATATCACATTTGCTACCAATAAAGTCACTTCTTGAGTCCCTATTGCTGATGTTTTTATCCCTACTGTGGATGGACAATCCTGTACCAGTTGGAAACTATAGGTAACTTAGTTCAACACTGTTTTTCATATGGGGACATACCCTCTGGTTGCTTAACGTAGATATAGAATATCACCATTTTTAATAGGTAAATCATCTATAAATGGGCCACTTTCCAGTTTGCTATGTTAAATAACCAGAGGGAAACTCATTGATACTGAAGGTCGTTGGTCGAGATACATGAGCAGTGATGAATGTGTTGTTTTTATTGTTCTATCCTGACTTACCCTCTGGTAATTTGTTACATAGCTATTGAACATGGCCATTTATAGTGAGATTTCCCATTAAAAATGGTGATTTTCCATAGTTATGTTAGTTTACCAGGCCGAGTATGTTTTCCATAAAGTTCCAAGAATTCCAACTGAATTTCGATGATTCCCAGTCCAGCCAGTTGTGTCTCATGAACCTACCATGAACGAGGGGTCTATCCGCTATCAGATTAAGCACAGTAACCATTACGCAACAGGCAACTCGGTTCCATGTTCAAAGATTGTCAGGGTCCATGTTCAAGCCCGAAGCTAGGATTTGATCTGTACATACGTGTTATTAGTCCAATCAGGTCCAACAGATTTAAGATATTCCCAAACATGTGGCCTCAGATACCATCCAGAAAAAAAAACAACAAACTCACAAACAATGCGGAAAATCCACCATATAGATCATGAAGCCGGGGAACAATCGTAGCTTTTAAGTATGTATGTTGGAAGGTAGTACTCCCTATCGTTGATAGATATATGGCTATATCACATTTGCTACCAATAAAGTCACTTCTTGAGTCCCTATTGCTGATGTTTTTATCCCTACTGTGGATGGACAATCCTGTACCAGTTGGAAACTATAGGTAACTTAGTTCAACACTGTGAATCATGGGGATATACCCTCTGGTTGTTTAACGTAGCTATAGAATATCACCATGTTTAATAAATCTACCATAAATCTACCATAAATCTACCATAAATCTATAGGTTCTAACTATAACTATAGATTTATGGTAGATATCACTATCACTATAGTTGGTTTATGGTAGATGATTTGTAGTTATATCTAAATCTACCATAAATCTACCATAAATCTACCATAAACCATAGTTAGGAAACCCTTACATCTCTAGTCAAATGCTAGATTATGCTTCGTTCTACATATATCTACCATAAACCATAGATGGTTAAGCCACTTATAAGGCAACTGAACGCTATCCTGGCCCCTCCCCATCCTCCGATCTCTCCGCACCTTTGGTAATGACGCCCAGGTTGGTGTATAACGCGGACTGCGGGTTCTTCTTGACGCTGACCTTGGTTCCATGGTGCTTCCTTTTTGGGCTTTTTGAATGAAGGGGAAATCCGTGACAATCCTATATATAGATGGGGCTTTAAAGGGAAAAACATCCAATTCTTCGGATATAATTATATAATTATATATATGTATTATAATAATATGTATAATATACACCTTCTTGTAATTCAACAGATTGTGCTACGAAAGCTATGGCCCATGGAAGTAGATTCGATTGCCATTTTGGGTAACCACGAAATAAGTCACCGGGAAATCAGCGGGGAATCATGGAAGAAAGCCATGGGAAAACCAGTCTCTTTTACACCCGCATTAATTAGGGCTATTGCTGCCTATCAGTGCCTATCTTTTCTCTTAAACCATTGCCAATCAGCCAGATACTCTGCAAAAAAAAACTTTGCTGGTGAACGTAGATATTCCCATTGATACCAAAAGACTAAAGGATTAAAGTACCCATCTAAGATTAACCCAGGTCTGGAATTAAGGACTCGACATGACGATACACAGCGTAACACTAGACTCACTCAGCACTAAAAAGGGGTCATATCTCTACTCAAGACAAAAGATCAACATGCTACAGCGAAGAATATCTGGTCATATAGAGTAATCATACTGTGGATGGAAGAAATCCAAATCACCAGTTGAAAACGGTGGTTTATCCCATTAATCATAGGGTTTCAACCATCCTTTTGGTGGTTAATCGGATTTCGCAACCATCCAGAGTATGTAATCATCCTGGTAAACTAAGGTAACTATGGAAAATCACCATGTTGAATGGGTAAACCCACTATTTCTATGGTCATTTTCAATAGCTTTGTTAGTTTACCGGAGGGTAATCATCCTGGTTGGAGGTTTCAACATGTTTCAGCCCATCACAAGGCGTGGGTTAGGCACTCGCACGCAGTCACGTAACGGTCATCAGCTGATTGAATCAAAAAGAAACTTGGACAGGACACGGTTCCGACCCACGAAAGAAATCCCGAGCAATTGAGATCATCCATCATCCCAGCTCAAGATTAAAAGATATAAAAAACTTTTTTTTAAAACTAATTTGTGGTTTGAACCCCCTGAAAAATATGAAAGTCAGATTGGATCATCGTCCCAACTATTGGGGAAAATCATCCAAATGTTCCAAACCACCAACCAGGAATTATATCGACAACTAGCAACATAGTAACCATATATAACCATAATAGACACCTATAACATAGTAACTATATGGTTTCCAACCAGTAACTAGTTGTGAAGATCACCAAAATCACCAACCAGTTCTATCACCTTTCCTTTTTATGTAACGGCCGTTGAGGCCATCCCACCATCTCCCCTGACCAGCAACTTGAGCTGAACTCATAGCTTTGAACATGGAACATATATGGTAACAATTTGAACAAGCGAAAATATATGGAAGATATACATGTACAGGATTATATATATATATATGGAAATGATATGGAAAATATATATGGTGATATAATGTGATATATATATATATCATGAAATAACCAATATATTATCAAGTAACCATTTTAGTGGAGCATAGTGATATACCCTGAGAAACCATGAACTTTGGGGGTTCTCCCAAAGTTCAGAAAAGGGGACCATCAAATATCAAGGTTTAATAGGCTTTATATGGAGATATATGGTGATAGGCCATGAAATTTTGGGGTATCCCAAAATGTTCAGAGGTTGAGAGAACTCACTGGCAGCTTCTCCCTGGCAGAGGTACAATCTCCAAGCAAAAGGTCATCTTCAGCTCAGGGTGAGTGACGTGTGCTTTCTTGAACCTGTGAAGAGGTTTCCCGGTTTCCAAATCGGATGGGGATTGAACCAGAAAGGGATGTTTTTTTTTAAAAAAACAACAAGGGGATAGTGAAGCAACAAGACTCAGTAACCCATAGGATCCATGGTGCTGGTATATATGCTAACATGACTGGGGTATATTGATGGTAAATGTTACCATATATATATATCATACATGGATCCTATGGGTAATGAAATCAAACCAACAGAAATCAGCATTGTTGCATAGGCTTCTCCGGCCACGATCAGGCAGTGTCAAGAAACATTTCCGTCATGCCACTTTCAGAGAACAGCACACTCAGCATGGACTATGATCTTTACAACACGCTGCAATCTTGAGCGACAGGATTTTACGGGAGGTTCCACCTGCTGACGAATGGCCGTTTCGTTTGCCTTCGATTTTGTTTGCTTCATTCTCAGCTTGCCCTTGCTCCACAAAAACCACATCGCAAGAATGTCTGTTCTATTTTTACCCTCTGGTAAACTAACATAACTATGGAAAATCACATTTTTTTATGGGTAAATCAACTATAAATAGCCATTTTCAATAGCTATGTTAAATTACCAGAGGGTACCAACTGAAATGGGTCTACGGCTGGGCTCAGAAAAATGCTGGCTCCACTCTGCGCGACCAGTCACCCATGGTCCAAGATGTCCCCAGATGTCCACAAGGTGCTGCTCCCCGGGTATGCCGGGTATGTCTCTTGGATTGTAACGGCATCTAACTATAGACCCTAGAAATCAACCATTTTTTTGCTGCTTAAACATGAGTAATTAACCAACCCCCAACTTTGATGATAGCGATTTTCCTACATCCTTCATCATCCCAAGATGTCGTACAAGGTCCCCAGACTTCCCGAGCTGCCCGAACTACTGGAAGCCTCCCATACCCCAGGCCCATCCTCAAAGCCGAAGGTCGGATATATCTTTCCTCATCGCGCAGGCGTCGACATAACCGGGTGCACCACATCGTGAAAACATGTTAGCACTGAAATGGGAGATATTGAGAATGAGATGACACCAACCAAACAACTTGATGGTAGTTTGTTGATGCCCTGAACAATGTTTCAATTTAGAATATAATCTGATTGGTGGTATCCTACCCCTCTGAAAAATATGAGTTCGTCAGTTGGGATTATTCTTCCCAACTGAATGGAAAAATAATCCATTCATGTTCCAAATCACCAAGCAAATCTACTGTAATTCCAACAAAACCAACAAAAATCTATGGCTACAATCCATCCAATCCTGAGGTTACCACAGAAAAACGTTACCACAGAAAAACCCTCAGTTTTGGGGGACTTCAAAGTCCAAAAATATGCGATGCCTCCGAGATAGACAGTGGCTAGTGGGCTACTGGCAAGCAATTTGTTTCAACTTCTTGACATGACAAGTGTTTAAAACCCGAATGTTTGATACCCTCTGGTAAACTAACAGAGCTATTGAACATGACCATAGAAATAGTGGATTTTCCCATTGAAAATGGTGGATCTTTCCATAGTTTTTTGTACGCTTACCAGGCCGGGTAATGTTTGATGGTTACGTTACTTTACTAATCACCTTTCTGTTGGACATCACCGTCATTGTTTTGCTTCTCTAAAATTCTAAAAGACCTACAAGACATGTTTCAATCAACTATAGATTCCCCTACCCTCTGGTAAATAAACATAACTATAGAAAATCACCATTTTCAATGGGAAAATCCATAATAAATGGTCATTTTCAATAGCTATGTTAAATTACCAGAGTGTAAATGGTCGAAGGGACAGTAAAGAATCACCTTAAGCAAACTCAAGTCGTGTTGATGCAAGTCAATGGATTGCGAAAAAAGGGAAAATCGAAACTGGAAAGCCCTAAGATTTCAAGGGAAAATCAAGACGTTGCCAGCAAAAACAATGCCCATATGCTCCATGGTGCTGGAATATTTATCAACATGTGCCCCAAAAATCACCCAGTTTTGTAGGTAAACTTAACAGCACCATGGAGCATATGGGATGCATATCAACAACACAGCTAAGCTCAGCTGTGTCAAGCATCAAATTTCGGCGGCTTTCGTGTGAAGTTATCTCCGACAAAAGAGACCTGCCATCGTGATGGCAGCAGGAAATTCAATCAATGATACACATTTAGAGTCATCCTGAAGTAGATAGAATATCTGGTTGGTGGTTTTAACCATCTTGAAAAATATTAGTCAATGGGAATGATTATCCCATATATTATGGAAAATAAAACATGTTTGAAACCACCAACCAGATATAGATTGTTTAACCACATTCACATTTTAGTGGGATCTAGAAATTTCCTCATTCTATATTAGCTACTGCAGGAAGAATATAAACTATATAATGGCATAAAAACGGGGATGTGTGTTCATATGTGTTCCATTGTCTATAGTCTACAATCTATACATTGGAAAATAACCCATGTGTAGATGACTTGATTACTGTACGTTCCATTGATGCCAAAAAGATGGGGATTTCCAATGGGTTTCCATTGCCGTGTCAGGTTTCACCCAAAAAGGCTAGTAGTCACTAGCCAACGTGCAACAACCGAAGTGGGAAACAAATACACCATTGGGGATCCCATTCTAAGAAAGACTTGGTCAAAACGGTCAAAACTCAGAACCTATTACACCGTATTTTCGGGGTAAGAACCTCCACAAATCCAAGCTATTTTGAGGTTCACCAGGAAAACAAGCTTTTGATCCACAGCAGTTGAGCGCTGCTTCCACCGTCGTTGAGTCTCCAAACAAATTGTGCTACACCGATATGAGCGCTGCAAGTTGTGGTGCCCGAGTTTTTTTTGCAAAGTTGATTCCATTCACCAATATTTAATTAGGCTTCACTTATGTTCACTTAATGGTGGTTGTGAACAATTGTAAACCAACAAACATAACTCGGCTACAAATCCCCTGTGTCCTTGTAAAGAGAAAAAACAAGAGTGGACTCGCAGGTGCAGCCTACAAGAATGTATAAACATGTTGCACCAACGAGGCAAACATGGTGAGTAGCCATATCAACACCACGGGAGTATGACAGCTGCAAAATAATTGAGAACAACATGTGAAGGAATCATGCCCCAAAACAACATACTGCCCATAGATACCGACACAGTCACTGACATATTTGGAGATTGGGTCTTAGTCTTTGCTGAACCTCACACCTAGGACAGGAAATCGGCAAGGTGATGAGCCAAACACTTGCTTTGCACCTGGACTGATAACACCATTTACCTAGCGAATACGGACTGAGTAATTGGATGATCATCACTAAAATCTGAATTGGTTTTCCATTTATGGAGCATTTTGCCTGCTGTTTTTTCTCATGTTTCCCATAAATCTTCCCATATCAAGAACTCGTTGAATCTCAGGGTCGACCCCCAGAAGACTCGCGAAGACCAAGGCAGGCCTTGTTCACGATTCGTTTCCATGCCTGCAGGATGAGAAATCCATGGAGATACTCCATGGATTCGAAGTGGGCGTGAAAATCACTGCCACTAATATCGGGATCGTGATCATGATTCCGAACATATATCATTTATATATTTATTTATAGTAATCCCCAGATGTGGCACTATTTCAATACATAGATTTTAAGATCATTTATAGTAATCCCCAAAACGATTTGCATCATTTATAGTAACCCACCAAAAAATGTAGCACTGTTAGACTATATCTAATAGATATATATATATAGTTTCTCTCTATCATTTTGACGGTTCCTAAATATGTTCATATATCTTCTATGAATCTTCTATGGCTTCTACCTCCGCTCACCACCAAAAAACGTCCTGCAGTGAGGCGCCTTCTTTTTTCGTTTGCCGCTACGGAGGATCTTGAACATCTCATCCTGCAAAGTACGGCTTCCAGGATGACAGCGACATGGCGGTGCCAGCGAATTACCTATCTGGTGTTACTTGCAAAATAACGATGGTTATGTAATGATGGTACACCCTGGTATATAATATCATGACCCATAGGATCCATGTATGGTATATATGGTAACATTTACCATCAATATACCCCAAATGTTAGTATATATACCATACATGGATCCTATGGGTGATGGTATACCATCTTTTCTGATATATAACATACTTTTCTGGTGTTTGTTTTCTGTGGAGTACTCGGAGTACTCCTGTTTTCAAGCTTCCATTGCTATAAAATTAGCATTAGATATATGGCATTCTGTTGCATATTTACCCCCCATGAGGCCCGATGGTTTTTGTTGGTTTCCATTACATATATATATATAATATACCCTATGGATCCAAAACACTGTCTGAGAAGGTACTTAACCCTCTAAATTATAGTAAATCATACCCCAAACACTTCCTAAGAAGGTACTTGGATCCATAGGGATATGAAAAAAACATAAAAAATATTCCATGAATTCCATTCCTGAAGTATGCTGAAGTTGGTTTCCGAGTTTCCGAGCTGGTCAAGCCACTTGCCCTCGGGGTCCCTCCCCGCTCCTCGGTCATGGCTTTCACCTTTGGGATGGGCACCTGCCACTTCCCGGCTTTCTCCTGGGCTCCGGTTGAACAACAAAGACATGATGGTGACGGGATGGAATCATGGTGGTATACCTGGTTTTTGCCCTGAGAATCATGATGGTTATGCTTGTGTATGGTTATGTAATGTGAAATATAATGAAATGTAATGTTATGTAAAAAATGGATATGGTTATGTAACATAACTAATACTGTACCATTATCATGATGGTCATGCAATGTTATATAATGGTTCCACTTAGCAAGTGGATTACAAGGCAGTAAGCGGGGATATACTATCAATCGCTTGGATATACGATGGTTATTAACAGCTTTAACCACCTACTAGCCGGGCTGCACCCAAGAATAACGAATGAACAGTGGATGATATAACCAAGATATATACAGTAATACATCGATGAACCAGCTGAATTTGGCCAAGCTGCTGGCTTTCATCTTAGACTTCAGAAATAAATACTACTATGATCTACTATGATCAATAATAGGTTTATTAAACTGCTATAAACTTCTTCGCTTAATCGATGTATAAATCTGATTAAATCTGTATACAGTCATACATTCGGGGCTTCTCCTGTGTAATTTTCTGCTGGAAATCATGGATAATCAACCCAATTACTACAGCGATTATACATGCTGATTGTTCATAAAAAAAACGCCTTTGGGTGTTGTGGAATTTATGGTTTCAACAGGTGTCTGGCTGTGGGAAACTCGTTTCTGAGTAGCTCCAAAGCGCTCCCTCCATTCACCACTGGACAGATCATCATTGCTCAAATATGATGGAATATGATGAAATATTATGGAATATGATGAAATATTATGGAATATGATGGAATATGGCTTATATATGGATTATGAATATCATCCTCCCTCATTGTTTTTTTCATATGAAGCACCCCATGCACCCCCAAAAAGCGGTCCCACATCAGTGGTGGTTTCATCCAACCTACTGATAAAACCATGCTTTCTGGGTGGTGTTCAATATTATGGGGAAAGCTTTCTTTAGCCATTCGAAACCACCCAAAAATGCACTCGGAAGATCTGAGAGAATCATCGGCGCTTTCTGTGAATGATTTTTGTACACTTATATAAGTACACTTGATGAGAGATGTTTGAATCTTTTGAAACAGTGTTATAAACCCAAATGCCTTTTGTTTTTCTGCTTGGTCTTTGAGTTTAAGTGAAGACCATTGGGTCTATGAACAGCCATTCTATGAGGGTGGGTCAAATGTTACATCGGGCTTTCCAGATAAATGACAACAGCATGACAACGGCATGGCTGACTGAAACAATTGTCTGAAAACAGCCTCCAGTGAATACCGGCCACAACACATAATAGTCAATATGAAACTATCAGTAATATGAAATGAAACTGACATAATCTGGAATACGTCATAAACAGTACTAAATCATATGTTTGCCCATCTTTGGGGCGTGGGTGGTTTCTCTCTCCCATCATCTCCCATCCGCCCTGCCCTTGGGCCTTGCGTTTCTGCTTGATCATGTTTGAGAGAACCTCACCAGGGGTTTTCACATCGGCATATTCAGCATCTGAAGCGCCAATCAGTCACTGGCCATCTCAGGAACCGATTTATTGGAGGTACCTACCATATATAAGGCCTATTTGTCAGGCCTATGTAAGGGAATATCCCCACAAAATATGGCCTTATATGGTACAGTACCTCCATTTTAGGATCCTGAAAATTATCAACGGCTGGTGGATGCAGCCACCTTCTTTTCGCAAAAGAGAAGATGTATTGAACTACTATAATCTGGTTGGTGGTTGACCTACCCCTCTGAAAAATATGACTTCGTCAGTTGGGATGATGACATTCCCAATATATATATATAAATATATATATATAATATATATATATATATATGGAAAAATAAAAAATGTTCCAAACCATGAACCAGTAATTGAACGGTTATATCAACTAGTTTATTTTGAGGGTCCTATACCTCATACAAATCCAGAAAAATGTATCCCTTTATATTAGTATCCATCCAGCTGGTTTGACCGGGAATGATGGAATGGATCATTGACATTAATTCCCCCAATGTGGTGCATTGGGACGTGTTATGGATTCATGAAGTGTTGACATATCGACCAGAAAGCCCAGTTATATCACATGGTAAACCATGGTAAACTCCAAAAATAAACTTTCCCATCAACCAACCATTCAGAATATATCACCCCAAATAATCAATGGTCATTCCAGGATCCTAAAATGGAGGTACGTTAGTACCATTTTTCAGGCCATATTTTGGGGGTATATCCCCTTACCTAGGCCAAACATATATGGTAGGTACCTCCAATTTATCGGTTCCTGAGTCATGGCCATTGAATATAGGAACCATAGATATCTGTAGAATTCTATAGATGTATCATGATATATATATATATCTACCATACCTAGTTGTTTAATCCATGGCAATCCATTGAAATAAGGCTATACCCAATAATAACCCTCAGTGGGGGACGGTGACGGCGTTGGCTTTACCTCAAAATAACCTACGACCTACCGAACTGGAGCATCAGGCCAAAAGAATTCCCGGCGCACCTTGGTTTACATATGGTTTATATCCCCACTTTTATGGGATGAAATATGGTTAATATATGGATTATAGACAATTATAAATGGGATGACATATGATGACATATGATGAAATATGATGAAATATGATGAAATATGATGGAATATGGCTTATATATGAATTATGAACATATAGGATTATAAATTATAAACCACTATTAACTAAGTGGAGCCCAAAAAACAGCCAACTATAGGCAACCCACCGGCAACGGCCCGCAAGTTTTAGCAGGGTACCTTGGTTCTTCTCACCTGTTCTCGATCCAAGAGATACGCAGGGACCGCGCCCGGCTTCACTTCCTCTGCGTCCTTGGCCTTGGCGTCTTTCTCTTGATGCGCCTGCGCGACAATGGACAGCTGTCGTCCCAAAAAAGGACAGTGGTTGGTATGATGTCCCGTTGGGAATGAATTGAAATCCGGAAATTATTGGAGAGATTTGGATAGTATAATAGTACAACCATATGGGAAATGTAATTATCTCTAATCATCAACCACTGCTTCCATTTTTTTGTACGCGCCCCGTGTGAAGGCATGGGTCAGTGGGAGTCCCTTCCCCTAAGAAACGATCTTCAATAGCCCCTAGAAACCTTGGTGAAATACTGGAACTGTTCAATTTTTTGGGGCGATATGAGGGGTATTGAATGTTGGGCAAGGATTAGTAACCATGACTTATCCATATTTATCCATGACTTATGGTCATCATAGCTGGGAAGATGAGGGTCATGTTCATCACCATGTCATGATGATGAAACGAGAAAATCACGGAGGGTGGGCTGGTCAACCAGCAGGGTCTTTTTTGCCCCGAAAAAACGAGGTCAGACGTTCGACCGTTTTCCAAGGCCATCAATTGGAAGACCCAGTTCTATTTTCTCAGCTTCACCAGGGTTCACAAGGGTATCCACCAAATGGTGGTGCCAGTGGTGCCCTAGTTTCTTAGCAGTGCCAATCTTAGAATATATGGGATTATATGAGATTATAGGGGATTATATGGGATTATATGAGATTTTCCAGTGCCAATCAGCCAGATACCCTGCAAAACATGACAAAATCTTGGCTGGTGAGTGTAGATAATCCCATTGATACCTCGGATCACACAGCAAAGATTAATGGTGCCATTACAAAAGACTAGGATTCGGATTAGTTTCTACCCGTCTAGTCGATTGACCTAGATAAAGGCCATAAATTGGAAGATGGCCCAAGTTTGACACAAACCCATATTTCTCTGTTAATTTAACAGTCTGCTATTTGAAAATACCCCATGAATAGCTCGTTGATTTACCTATTCAAAATTGTGGATCTTTCTATAGTTATGCAAACGTTTACCAGAGGGTATCTCTTTGGACAGAGTACCGTGACAATGATTTCCCCATCCGCGTGCAAGGGGTGTTTAGGGATAATCCCCTGTACGGTTCACCATCATCGGCGAAATAATGGTTAGATATCATCGAAATAGTTCATGGCGGTTATAAACCAATTGTTACATTAAGAAAACATAGTTAGTGGGCTTGATATATATATATATATGTATCATATGTATTACATATATATATATTACACATATTTATACATATTTAATTCATGGGGGTTAAACAAAACCAACAACCCGCAGGTCTTAGCCCAAATCGTTCAAGCAAACAAATACATAAATCCATGTATTTTTCGGACCTTGATGGTCTTCTTCATCGTTGCCTTTTCAGTGTACCTGGCGGCCAGGCACCGAGTCTCACCGAGTCTCGCCGATGGAGGATTCGCCAAGCGAAGAAGAGGAAAGGAAAGGAAGAGGAAAGGAAACTTGCATGATCCCTTTTGTTGTTCCTAGATATGATCATTTCAATGGTCATTCCAGGATCCGATTTATTGGAGGTACCAACCATATATGTTTGGCCTATTTTTCAGGCCTATGTAAGGGAATATCCCCACAAAATATGGCCAAAAATATGGTACTAACGTACCTCCATGTATTGGATCCTGGAATTCCCATTGATCATTCTAGATATAATATGATATAATGAACTATGATGCTATCTGACACTATTCCAATATCATCTGATAAAAGCACAATTAAATGATACAGTAATAGACTTCATCCATTTGTAGCTGGCGACCGGTCGACAGGGACGTGGACAATCACAGCTTTGTCTAAGACCATTGGGTCCCAATCCGATAAATCATGGCCATTTCAAAACCGGAAAATCAATGAAAATCATATCTATAACTTCCCCTGGATTTTGGCTAGCCTATTTTCAGACAAAGGCAAAAAAAACACAAGAATCTAAGACCATGATCACACAAGTACCGGCTGCAAGTCACTTGCACTTACCAAATGTGGGCCAATGTGTACAAGGTGCTGCCCCAGTTTCAAATCGCTAAGTTGGTGCAAAGTTCATGTTCGGTAGTTTCTCTGATTTATGGATGAAGCTAAACCAACAAACATCACTGGGGAAAGGGTACCACCTTCTATGACCCAAACACGATCCGAACCGGTAGATTTCCCAGCAAAGGAACATGTCAAAATTCTATTCAAGACATGATTTTCATATTGCTCGCTATCCCGTAAGATCCTCATCATATGCCTATATTATTTTAAATATGTTTAAATAGTAAAATTGCAATTTCCTCATTTTTTCACCAAAATGCCAACCATTTACTCATTCTATTGTTGATTAATGTTGATTACGTGAATCCCATGGCATTCCCAGTCACTCCGCCTCTTCTTGGTGAAGAGTTTCGCTTTGATACCTCCGAAAGAACGGAGCAATGGAGGGGTCACCCGGGTCGATGTAGGGCCCCCCAGTTACAAATTATTGGTTGATAAACCCCGTGCCATAGTTATAAGTTATAGTTATTGGCTTATGATAGTCACATAGTTATAATATGTTGTTATGCAATATTATTGGTTGATAACTACTTATAATTATTGGCTGATGATAGTTATACATAGTTATATATCATATCATAAACCATAGCAAAATTGGAGTTATGTTCATCAACTTAGCGATTTCCTTTGGGGGCCCCACGAGTTGTATCAAGGCATGAGGCATGACCCGCAACGGTGTGTCATCCTTGCCATGGGAATGTCCAACATGCCATGGAGCTGATGAGTGGGGACTCACCCAGTCCAGAGCTGAAAAAACAACCATCGAGCTGTACGCAAAATCATGACCCTCAGGTAATTTATCACATAGCTACGGAAAATGACCCATTTAAAGATGATACCTATAGACCTATATTTACCATGATTTACCTAGTAAAAATGGTGATTTGCCATAGCTATGTTGAATTACCAGAGGCTATATTCACATGTGAACATTTCATCAACTGGCGGAGGGTATAGTTCAATGCGACTGTGGGTTGTCAAAGAATCGAACATGAGGAGGAGAGTGATCATTATTAATTCCAAGCATGCAATAGGCTCACAACCAGTGACTAATTCAAGAAGAGAACACACATATCACAAAAAGTACTCATAGCAAATGTTCAGTACTGTATCATACAGTAACTCCATATATATAATATAATTATATGCATAGTCAGTTGGATAAATTATATTCCGAGGTTTATCTCCTCAACATCAACAACAACAGCAACAACAACTGCATCTTCAGCAAAGTCCTGGCTTGACGTTCCCCATTTCTTCAATTTCCCCCAAGAAGTAGGTCAGTTCAGCACCGTGGGACCTCGCAGCTTCCGGGCAGTCTTGGAGATCTTCTTGGGCTCGCGGGCCTTCTTCTTTCGCATGCGCTCCTGCAGAACAAACAAACCATGGGAAATATGATGGACATATGAGAATAGCACTGAGGTACACTGATATATTCAAGTGCTGAAAAAAAACGGTTTGCTAAATTCTTGATAGGTTCATCATCATTGGTTGAGAGTCAAAATCATGGAAATACTGTGGATGGACAAGACATCTGGCACCAGTTGGTAACTATTGGTTTTCCTCTGAAACACTGTAAATAATGGGATTGTAATGGGACAAACATGAACAAACCATCTACCAACTGGTGCTGGCTTTCTTCCATCAACAGTATGATGAACACATGAGGATGTATGGAAGGCACTATGATGAAAATGCCATGGACATATGATTCCACTGCGGAAGTATAAGATGGTTTTGTCTTAGAATAGGGTATCTCAAAATTCGATACTTAGTCATAATTTTCCAATTGGGTGATGCTATTGTTATCACCTATAACTATCATTTTCCCATATTTTCCCTATTATATAACATGGCCAGTTTAATGATTCAAATACCATGTAGTTACAGTAATCATTAACCGAACAACAACCCCCCCCGAAATAGTGATTCTCCGGGCCATTCCGTGCCTAAAAAATGACCTGGTTCACCTGGTTCACCTCTAAAAAGGGGAGCTGAATCCCGAACATATGATGTAATTTTCTGAGATCACATTCAAAAGCTTAACTGGTAATAATTTTAATGGGATTTCAATGGTTAATATATATGGTTAATAATGGTTAATATATGGTTAATATATGGTTAATGCTGGTTAATAATAATCTGGTTGGTGGTATACCTACCCCTTTGAAAAATATGAAAGTCAGTTGGGATTATTCTTCCCAATATATGGAACAATAAAAAATGTTCCAAGCCACCAACCAGTATGAGATTATGGGGATATGATGTAGCTTTCTATATTAAAAAACAAAACATATCTCACACGTTCATTTATTCATATGGTGTAACTAATATGTATATAACTATATACTTAAACAAGAAACATGTAACTATGATTATGATGTAACTATAAGTAAATAATGAAATGACATGCTGCATGGCCAAGTCTTCAAAGAAGTTGATCTTGAGCTAACAACTATTCACCATCATTCACCGATTGATCCAGTTTTTCATGGTTGAATCCCTACATTCTGGTAGTTAAAGCTCCAACATTGGTTGGTACAATGCTGCCATGTTTGTTGGTTGAAACTAAGATCGCAAATTTGCCCAAAGTGTAGGCAGTATATTCAATGTTAAGATATATATATATATACATATCAAAGATATTAGTTTCGATCAAAACCATCTACACATATGAAATATGGTTTTGTCCACCAGATAGAACACCCCTAGACTTCTGCAAACAGCAATTACGCTCAGTCACTGAGGCTCATTTCAAGCCGATAGCCGAAGGCAATTGTTGGCAGTCAGGAACATTTTAGCCAAACCATAGTATCGTGGTACGTCCTCATGATCAAAGCGCCGGCCAAAGCGTTTGATCGATTCCTGGCGGGAAAAAGATGGGTCATACGGGATTTTGTGGGATCTTTACTGGATATACATCAATGGTAATTCCAGGATCCTAAAATGGATGTACTGTACCATGTAAAGCCATATTTTGGGTGTATATCCCCTTACATAGCCCTTACATTGGCCAAACATATATGGTAGGTACCTCCGATTTAGGTACCTGAAGTGGCCATTGATATACATAGGATATAAATCAAATCAATTCTAAAAATCCTATGTATATCAATGGCCACAGGAACCTGAGAAAAGTGAGAAAATCTGTGAGTAAATTCTATTTATACATAGTGCCATAGGATAAATCACATACATAGGATAAATCTGGGAACGTGAGAAAAGTGAGAAAATCGAGGGCACCTACAAATCCACCGGAGTTAGTGCCTAACTTGCAGTGCCAATCTTAGAATATATGGGATTATATGGGATTATTTGGGATTGTATGGGAATAAATATTTAATCCCATACAATCGATTAAATGGGATTAAATGGGATTGCATGGGATTAAATGGGATTGTATGGGATTGTATGGGATCGTATGGGATTATATGGGATTGTATTGGATTAAATGGGATTATATGGGATTAAATGGGATTGCATGGGATTAAATGGGATTAAATGGGATTGTATGGGATTAAATGGGATTAAATGGGATTAACTGGGATTGTATGGGATTAAATGGGATTAAATGGGATTGTATGGGATTGTATGGGATTAAATGGGATTATATGGGATTAAATTGGATTATATGGGATTAAATGGGATTGTATATACCAGGAGAATTTGGATAATGATCCCAAGTGACCCCATATAGCATATATCAATAATATGTATATATATGCATAACAAATACATACTATATATATATAATACTATATATATGCTCTATATGCATACGCATGTTATATCCCATTCACAACCAGCAACCACCAGGCTTCAAGTGGGCCAATCAGAATCGCTACCATGGTTGCTCAAAACATAAGGATTGATCTCTAAATAGCATTATATATATACCCATATTAAATAGCCCATATATATATATCATATATCTGTTCATTGTTTGATCCAAAATAATATGGCTTAGAACATCTAGATTGATCATGTTTCATCATGTTTGATCTCGACAGGAAACAAATCTGAACGAGTTGAACAGGGCCAGCCCTCCGTCACCTTGATGTATTCATTCTGCGGCATCTTGTAACGACTCGGACGCTGCGCGGGGGCCCCACACCGCGAAGAACGCGCGAAGGGCGTCTTACTTGAGCCACAACTGGGACGTGGAAACGATGAGTGCGGTGTCATTCAATACTGGTTGGTTAAGAACGGGATTCCCCTAGTGGATTCATTAAAAAAAAAACAATGTATATGAAATTATATAAAAGGTAGTATAATATAGTATAATCCCCAATCATGAACCAACAGGGGTTTTGAACACTGCTCATGCGGTAAACTCAATAGTCATACCATGTCATTACAGAGATTGCTAGGTTTATCATATTACCCTCTGGTAAACTAACATAGCTATGGAAAATCACCATTTTTAATGGGAAAATCCACTATAAATGACCATTTTCAATAGCTATGTTAAATTACCAGAGGGTATCTGATGTGCCCAGAGATCAATCCATTCCAATTTTTTACTTCTGGGAAAGGTGAACGCTTAGCCGCTTGCGAGGCTCGAGGTTCAATAAGCCGAGACATACTCTCCAGTAAATTAACAGTTCGACACTAGCAGATAGGGGTTGGAAGATTAGTGAAACCACTACAAATAGGTAAACCTTCAGGGTCAAACTGTTAATTTACCAGAGAGTAAATCAAATCATAAAATCACATGGTTTCATGAACACTAAGATCACATGTCAGCTTGTCATCCAAACTTGGGAACCCCATTGTTTCAAACATGCTGGAGCAACTCCACCATTCTGCAGCTTTTCCGATTTTTCAGGACACCAAAAACTGGGATCTGCTGCAAATCATACTGCACGAGTTGGTCATGATTTTTAAATATAACGGTGATATCAAGAAAACTACAAGCCAGTTGTAATCCCTCCCATGCACATAAGTTGGTTAGTTTATACCCCATCTATATAACATTTAGATAGATACTCTCTGGTAATTTAACGTAGCTATTGAAAATGGCCTTAGAAATAGTGGTTTTTCCCATGAAAAATGGTGGATCTTTCCATAGTTATGTAAACGTTTACCAGGCCGGGTAGACAGACAGACAAACAGATAGGCAAACCATGAAAGCCTCCATTTACTTCGGCAATTTCCGAGTCAATGGAGCTGATGACACCGAGGCGCTGAAGATGAAACAGGTCTCCAGCTTCTGCAAGATGTTGCCTTCTAAAGTGCCTCGGCCGGAGGTTGAGCCACCTACCATTGGTTGGTTTCATATACTATTAATATTAATGGTTAATATTAATGGTTAATCTATGGTTGATATATGGTTAATAATAATCTGGTTGGTGGTTGAGCCCTACCCCTCTGAAAAATGATGGACTTCGTCAATTGGGATATCATTATTCCCAACTGAATGGAAAGTCATAAAACATGTTCCAAACCACCAACCAGCAAATAGCAGGTCATAGGTTAGGCTAGGTGAAGATTTATGTCCTCAATAGGGTACCACAAGTTTCACCAAACATGGCAGTTTTCCGTAGCGAAATCACTTTCCGGTAGCTTTTGTTGGGGCGGTTCCCAGCGTTCTTGGTCTCACAATGAATGAGCAATGGGTGAAAAAAAGTCCCCAACTAGTCCCAGTTTTGGTGTTCTTCCCTCCAGATCCTATCTTCTGGGACTCACTGACTTTTTTCAACTCCAAACGGGGGTGGTTCAGGAGAATCCCAACCTATAATCCCAATATCATCCTATAATTCTCATAACCCAGAATTCACGCAACAAAATCCAAGAATCATCCCACATGTTTGCACCACAAGAGCCATTATAGACTATTATAGAAACACCCCCATCCCATCTCATGAAATACTAGTTGTTATTTTTTTGTTTCACTACTATCGGTTATCATAATCCCCAAGAAATGAGCTAGCATATGCCCCAGCAAATTACACAATCAACATCAATCAATCATGTATTTTTCATGGCCCACATGATCTTCTTCATATCCGGGACAGCCAAGTTGCTAAAGGGCTTCATCAAGACCAGACTTTGCAGATGCAGGAAGGCTACCCACGCGAAGACCAAGATCCTCTCCATCAAAATGGATGATGAATATGTGATGTGAATGGATGGTTTTGAGGTTTTTTTGAGCCATGAAAATGGTGTTGATTCAACGGACATGGGATGGCAACATCGCTGCCGCGAGGTTTTACATGATGGGAGTTTCCACAAATGGGAGTACTTCATTAAAATATATTAAAATCCCATACCATGGTTGGTTTCTCACGGAAAAACATGCCATTAACATATAGGGGGAATCGGGCGGAATTAACTCGACTGAGGTTTCCACCCCATGGACATGTTTTTTCTGTTGGGGACACGTTTACGGCTGGCTGTAACCCATTGAAATATAGGATGGAGCTGCTATAGATGTGTTCAACAAAAAAAAGAAGAACAAGAACTAGAGAGCAGCGAAAGGTCTATTGAACATTCGGAATACCTGCAAAAACATGATGTTGCGATGTGTTGTTTTGGGTGGGCCATCATAATAGATGGAGGCACTGGCAAATGGGCTCAGGGCTAGGACCTACGAAGAACTACCAGTAGTATTGTTCAGCATCTAAAAACCACATGAATCCATGAATTACAGCAATGGCCGGTTCAATAGAAAAGAATCAACAAAGACTTTGAAGATTACCCTCTGGTAAATTAACAGTTCGACCCTGGCATGAGTCGGGGTTGGAAGACTGGTTTCCACTCAAAATGGCTTATTTTAAGGGTCAACAAGTTAATTTATATACCAGAGAGTAAATCAATCAAAAAAAACATGGTTTCTTGAACAATAGTTTTTCACATGGTTTACTAGAGGCGATATTGAAGAATTCCTCCGGACCTTGGCATCCCTCCACGAAGAAACATCACTGGTTGGTGGTTTCAACCTACTATTGGTTGGTAATATACTACTAATATTAATGGTTAATATGAATGGTTAATCTATGGTTGATATATGGTTAATATATATATATCTGGTTGGTGGTTGAGCCCTACCCCTCTAAAAAATGATGGACTGAGTTCGTCAGTTGGGATGATGAAATTCCCCAATTTTGTGTGGCAAAAGAAACATGGTTCCAAAGCACCAAGCAGTTTTTAGATCAGTGATCTGAACAAAGAACGCCCCCAAAAAACTGTTTGGTGCTTTGGAACTGATCTAAAATGTTGTAACCCCCATCCATTTTCTGATCAGTGATCTGAAAGTGGTGTAAGACCACAAAGTCCATCCATTTCCACTGTTTTAACCCCAGACAATGGGCTTCCGCCCCTGTTTGTGGGTGCAATACAACACCATTTCTGCCAATCTTCCAGTGATTTCTGGCTTGGGGTCGCTAGCGGCTAGAGGTGATTTTAATGGTTTTAATGGGGCGAGATGTTCACCAATTTCCAATCCTACAGTCAAGTCACTACTTGGTGGTTCACCCCCACTTAGTAAGTCTAAGTAGATTATACCCCTGGTTATAACTGGCCTAAGTAGGGTTAGTTCACTTATAACTGGGGTTATAATCCACTTACTAACTGGGATGAGCCACCAAGTACAAGTTGCTCAGGTTGCGGCAAACTTCCCGATCCGATAGTTCATTAGATATGATAAAATCTCAAACGTTGCTGGACAGTTTTCGGCAAACATTGCTGGAAAAAAGCCAAATGTTTGTGAGAGAAGGATGAAGACATTTCCACTATGTCCCCCATCATTTTCTCATACTTTTCAGGCTTGTTTTCCATCATCCTTCCATATCCGTTTCCATCATGTTCCATCATTTTCCCATCATTTCCCTCATATGTTTCCATCATGTTCCATCATTTTCCCATCATTTTCCCATCATTTTCCCATCATTTCCAACGTTGACATCCCCCCAAAAAAACACCACACACCAGCGCCCACCGCACAGGATAACTCCTGAGAACTTCATCTGGAATGGCCGTCGCAGTCATGAACCTTTCTGGCGAGACCATGGCCAAGGAAAAAACAATAGTAGTGTGGTACTTGGTGGTTCACCCCCACTTAGTAAGTCTAAGTAGATTATACCCCTGGTTATAACTGGCCTAAGAAGGGTTAGTTCACTTATAGCTGGGGCTATAATCCACTTACTAACTGGGATGAGCCACCAAGTAAATGATAGTTGGTTTATAGTAGGTAAGAAAACAACAACACTAGTAAACAATCCTAGTGGTAAATCAATAAAGCCATGAACATAATATTGTAGTTGTAACATGTTGTAAATGATAGTTGGTTTATTGTGATTATTCAGAATGACCATACTGTAGTAGTAAATAGATTAAGCACATGGAAATACCCATAGGATCCATGTATGATATATATGGTAACATTTACCATCAATATACCCCCAATGTTAGTATATATATATAATTACCATACATGGATCCTATGGGATAGTAATAACACGGCCAGGAGTCTCTGTTCGCCCGGACTGCAATGTATCACGTCTTGACGAAGGGCCCAAACCTCTTTGTATTTCCCGTAGAAAACGACTGTCTCAACATGTCTTGGCATGGACATGTCGAACATATGCTTGCGAAAAAAATACTTGCTGGCGAACCCACGGATCCTAAGTAGGTGAGTTCACCTGAGATATAAGTGGATTAATGATGAATACTCATCCCACTGAAATCACCAGGGATATAGATCCGAAATCGGGCGAAATTCGTGAACCCTGGCAGGTTTGGTTTCAGCCCTGGCGAACGTTTCTTCGTATGAACTGTATGGTTGGTTTATGGTGAAGCATTCGTTGGTGAATTTCTATGGTCTATGGTTGATAGATCCCATTACCCTCTGGTAATTTGTTACAGAACTATGGAAAATCACCATAGAAAGTAAACAAATTACCAGAGGGTAACTAACCATATTACCATGAACTACTTATTACTATAAATTACCTTTTTTAATAGGTAAATCCATCAGATCTGAAAGATCAGACATTTTTGGGATCCCGTATTAACTAGTTCCGTATTCAATCCCACGAGTGCGATATATTTCAATACATCATAGCATACGTTCAACAGAATCCTCCGAACGTCAACACGTTTTTTATCGTTTTTTGTTCTGTGGCTCCATGGCGCTCCATGTCCATGTCCATGATGATCATTACTATTACTAAGGCTATTATCAATCGATCATTATATATCATTATCACATCTTATCATTTTGTCATAGTTCTTAAAACTGCTACTAAAAAATAATGAGATTAATAGATAAAAAAACAAAATGCCATGAACATCTCGATTCTATCCCTGAATCTTTGGTTGCTTAAACCAAATAAAAAAAAAAAAAGTCGGCACACCGTCCCCCCCGGTTCCGGAAATCCGACAGAAATCTCTTGAAGAAGAAAGTGATCTCGTAGAACCTCCACAAGCTCGGTTGCCAGGCTCGGTATATCGAGAGGTATCTATCGAGCGGACACGAGAAATCCTGGAACCCATGGGCCCATGGTTCTGGTAATACTTGTAAATTGTATATAAATAATTTGGAATTACAGTACAGTAATAAGAATTTCCAACGTCATGTTTAACATAGTTCCTAACAGAAGTTACTTCCTATACGTCTATCTGGCACAGAAAGGCCTTTGAAAGAGGCTTAAATCGTGAACAATGAATGATGGTTAACAATGGTTAATAATGGTGATTATTGATGATTAATGTTGATATAGCCTCTGGTACTTCTTACAGTTTGCGAACTGGAATCTATCACTATTTTCATTACGGTAAATCAACGAACTATACATGGGCCATGGCTTCTATAGCGAACTGTTCGTTTGCCAGAGGGTATATTATTAAATGATTACCCATAGGATCCATGTATGCCATATATGGTAACATTTACCATCAATATACCCCAAATGTTAGCATATATACCATACATGGATCCTATGGGTTATATCATGTGGGCAAAACATGGTAAAATAATGCCATGTTTACCACCCATGACTGGGAATGGGAAACATACCACCTATAAAAATGGTGATGACTGGGGGATGGTTTATTGTTTTACCCACATTATCTCTCTTAGCAACTATTCAATTGCCATTTCAGGAACCGATTTATTGGAGCTACCTACCAGATATAAGATCTATGTACCCTCTGGTAAACGTTTACATAACTACGGAAAGATCCACCATTTTTAGTGGCTAAATCCGCTAAATCCACGAACATGCATGGGCAATTTTATCCATTTTCAATAGCTTTTTGATGCTTTTTGTATGTTTACCAGGCCGGTTAAGGGCTATACAAGGGGATAACCACCCCCAATTCATCTGGCCCGAGAAATGGTAGGCGCGCCAGGGGATTGGTACTGATTCATGGCCATTGAAGGCACTATAGCAATTCTAATATAACTCTGGGATTTCAATGGTTAATATATGGTTAATATATGGTGAATATATGGTGAATGATTTTTTTTTTTAAACGAAAGGGAAAGTCTCTCTCCCTGTCAGCCTCGACCCAAATACCTTTTCCAGTTCTAATAAAGGGGTTGTAGGAAATGATTAAAACGATCACAACCAGTGAGGAGCGTGGTTCTGAAAGCTATGTGGAAGGTCATAGGTTATGGGCGCATATTTAATACCCAATCAGTGAGGAGGATAAAGAGATCCGGTTGTGTGTTGCGCAGTTGGAACTCCATTGTGTAGTGTCATCCATTGTGTAGTGGTGTTCGCCTTCGGCTAAGGGGAACGGGTTTGGGGTATTGTCCAGTGATATTCCGCCAGAGAGCCCTGCTTCTCGCTGCTTCCCGCACTGGTCGATAGATGCGCGCATTAGCCCGCCAATCTGTGACTGTAGGGCCATGGGTAGAATATACTTCTGTAGCTGTTGGAGGGGAAAAGAAAGGATGAGACAGGTCAGTGAGGGCTGGGGCGGTTTGTTGTTGCACACTTTGCATGCGTCGATAAGCTTCTGTCAGCACTAGTTCGGCCCAGTGGGGGCGGGGTCTGCCCTGCCGAAGATTTTCTCCCCGGAGAAAACGATATGCGTGTGAAGGCATGAAGGAAACCAAATGTTCCGTGCAGCTTTCATGGCGCAACAAATGACCAAGGAGTTGAAGTCGCCGGGTGGCAGCCAGTTGAGATGGTGTATAGATATTCATTCCATGGGAGTTAGCAAGGGTGTGGAGATGGGTGTTTGAGTCTGTCTCGCAATCATCAACTGCTTCAATCAGTGTCAAAGCATTGTACAGGTCAGGTATATTGTGTCTCACATAAGGCGCCGCAGCTGCATTGAGCAGGTTCTGAGGAGGATTGCCAAGCACACCAACAATGATGGAATCATCGCTGAACCTCTGGTTGTTCGCCAAAAAGTCGGTAATAACAACACCATTAGGCGCAGCAACAGCCTCGTTGACTGTCATGCTTGAGACATACATCGGACCTGCGATGTTTCCGGCAGGGCCATTCACGTTCCAGTTTGCTATCGTCTGCGCTTGTCCGATGTATACAGTGATGGACTCAGAGCTTGCTGACAGGACACGGGGAGGTAATAATAATCTGGTTGGTGGTTTCAACATGTTTCAACCCCTGTGAAAAATATGAAAGTCAGTTGGGGTTACTATTCCCAACTGAATGGAAAAATAAAATTCATGTTCCAAACCACCAAGCAGATAACTTATTTATTCACTATTGCTACAGAATTCATCCAAAGTGAACTAAAGCAACTTATAAGCCAACTTAGCTAAGGCTTAGAGGATGAGATATGGATTATTTATAGGATAAAACATATATCTGGTTGGTGGTACCCCCATTTCAGGAAACCTCCATATGCTAATCATCATTCTTGTGGTCATTTTCCAACAGCAAACAACTCAAGGATTAAACCTGGTTGGTGGTTTGAACCCCTCTGAAATGGTATACGTCAGTTGGGATGATGATTCCCAACTGAATGGAAACAATAATCCAAATGTTCCAAAGCACCAACCAGTATTTCATCACCATTGTTTCTATCGCTATTAGCAATACTACTACTGCTTAGATGGGCCCTGGGATTAGTTGAATGGTGAGTAACTGGCGGAAAAAGTTGGCTGTAGTGGATGTTGATCACCCCTTTGATTCACTTTGCCCATGGTTGGCTAAATCTTAAAGCATCACCAACGTTGTGGTGATGCCGTTGTCGTGGCGAAATTTGGATACCTCTATTTAAAAAAAAAAACTAAAACTACACATCATTGGCAATGATTAATTACATCATATACCCTCTGGTTATTTAACATAGCCATGAGTAAACCATCTATAAATGGACCATTTTCCATGGCTATGTTAAATAACCAGAGGGTATTACATCATATAGGTTCTCCCTTAAAAATCGTTGGAACACGTCAGATCTTTCATTTTTGGGTCACTTTACACAACACCCAAAAAGCAGGTGTCGAAGCTGTCGAAGCCCAGATGCCAATACTCAGGCTTCATGTCATTGTACAGCATACCTGGGCTAGGATTGGATTCCGCTCATCGACACTGCTGATTTCGTGCTGATCTCTGTTGATTTGTTGATTGATTCTTCCATGGCTTTCTCATTCGACACGTTTTCAGAAAACCACCCGAAACGCTTGAATATCATGTTCCCCTAACATCGAAAGTTGAGTCGTTTTCAGATGCGCTCCGCAGGCGGTGCTGTCACCCCAACCCTAAAGACGACGTCTCCAAATGACGGAGTTCAAGAGGGGAAACATCAAACATCACTCCCAATGGATTTCAGGGAAAGTCTTCCGAAAGATGGTTTTACCTTGGAATATGCGAACAAAAAACCTCCAGTAAACCAACATAGTATGGAAAATGGCAGATGATGATAGAATATATATGATAGATGATTTACCTATTCATCATGCAATGGTGTTTTTTTCTACTTCGCTATACGTTAAATTACCAGAGAGTAATGGGACGTGGCCTCTCCACAGGTCATGGGGACCGGCCAGTTAAGTGGATTCCCCTATGAGGTGGTGCTCCCAAAGGTTAGCTGAGTTGGTTGATGTTTAATTTCTACTGTAGTCTAACTATAGGATTTATTGGAGATATAGTTATAGTAGTGAGGTTTGGAGAATATTGGATATGTATATAATCCCGGTACGAGTTTACCAGGGTAGGTAGGCACCCCTGCTTTTCTATTAGAAAATGAAGGGTCCTGAGTTAACGGAAATAGTAAAGCACACTCTGACCACAAAATAACAGTACCACATTTAGAAAATCATACGCATACCAAAATGCATTTTTCCACTATGGTAGGCTCATTTTTCCTTAGAATATCATGCGCGGACATCTGAGGTAGGATCCTAACTGCGGAAAATGCGGACATAGAAACCAACTACCGAGTTACAAGTCCAGGTTTTCTAGAGGACATGGTGTTTCAAATGTCACCCAGTTTCTCCCACAGCAGCAGCTTCGAAGAAATCGATTTCTTCGATTTTTCATGATTTTTCCAATTCGATTTTTTCGATTTTTTCCTTTCCGCTGGCAAAAGTCTCAACATCTCTCAGCAATATTTCCAGTCATCCTACCCAATAGTTGCCAGCCGAAATTCAACAGTTGTCAGATGAAGTCATATGAAATCAATTGAAACCAATTGGAATCAAATAAAACGCTGATAAAATCTGAATAGATCTGGTAAATCTCAATAAAATTGAATAAATACACATAAATAATCATAAATACATATAAAATCAATTAAAGTCATATAAATACTACATAGAAATACCACATCTTTCTGATTCTTTCTGCATCTTTCTAGAATACATCAGCTGGAGCAACAACAAAAACCAAAAACCAACAAGCAAAACCACCCCCTCTATTTTGGACCCTGCTAGAAGATTGTGAACATGTGCTTTGGGCTTAGAAAGACACTTCTAGAAAATCATGTCCAATGAAAATTTCATATATTTGGTTCCTCATAGATGATATTTAGAAAATTCCAGACATATACTGGAGCTTGCCTGTTGCACTATTGTCTACCTCTAAAAAACCAGGATCCACAAGAAAATCGCAATCTGACTCCTTAGTGTTGCAGTACTGAACACTATTGTCTACCTCTAAAAAACCAGGATCCACAAGAAAATCGCAATCTGACTCCTTAGTGTTGCAGTATTGAACAATGTTGAACAGCTCTAGAAAACCTGGGCCACTAGAAAAGCTCACTCTTACCTCTCTAAGTTATGTGAAATTTTATCCGCAAAATCCGTTTTTTGGGCCTCTAGAAAAGTATGACCATACGAGTATGATAGGTTACAACTTATAAAAAAAATGCTCTCTAGAACCAACGGGGGTTGTTACATAAAGCCTCTATGTTCCCATGCATATTTTTTCTCTAGAAACAGACGTCCTTACAGGGGGGTTAACCTACCTGGTTTTCTGGGGGAAACTCGGAAGATGATTGTATGTATATATATAGTTAATGAGGTTTATCAACTTCTAACTGGCACCACATTGAATTTTCGAGGGATTTGCCATTCTACAATAGTAAATTCACACTTTTTTGCCTGCCAAAAATCGGTACTTGGTGGTTCATCCCAGTTAGTAAGTGAGTTCTAACGCCAATTATCAGTGGATTAACCCTACTTATCCCATGCAAATCACTGGGGGTATAACCCATTTACGAGCCGTGGGGGTGAAGCACCAAGTAACTTATACCAAGTCGCCAAAGACATACTGCGAATTGGCATCCTTCAGGCTGTTCCTGACAGGTCCAAAGAGTTCAAAGATGGCGACCCACAAAGGTTGGATGTCGCAGAAAAACCCTCTGGGAATTGAACATAACGATAGTGATTTAATGGATTTTAATGGGACCTTATGGTGATTTAATGGATTTTAATGGTGTTTAATGGGACTATATAGTGATTTATGGTGATTTAATGGATTTTAATGGTGATTTATGGTGATTTAATGGGATTTACTGGTAATTTAATGGGATTTACCCTCTGGTAATTGAACAGTTTGCTATTGAACATGGCCATTTAGTTCGTTGATTTACCCATTAATTGAAAGGGATGATTGTCCACAGCTATGTTAGTTTACCAGAGGGGTATCAATTTTCAGGCTTGACAATGTCGAACCAGAGAATCATAGAAGCCCCTTTGATCAGTGCCAATCTTAGATACTCTGCAAAAAAAAATCTTTGCTGGTGAACGTAGACGTAGATAATCCCATTGATAACAAAAGACTAAAGGATTAAAGTACCTATCTAGGATTTACCTAGTAATCAAAATTGAAACGTAGAAGCCCCAAAACGCCCCTGGCGTTCGAACCTCAAAGACCCAAGCTGTTGGATCAAACATGAGGATCTCCCATGCCAAACAAATCATCGCTTTTGCACCATCAAATAACCTCCAGTAAACCAAGATAGCTATGGGACATCACCATGGAAATACAGTACTAGGCAAAAGTATTTGCAAAAACAGGCCATTTTCCATAGCTATGTCCGATTTCTTGAAGAGATCCCCAGTACGCTGCCAATGGTGGAAAAAACATGAGTAAGCTATGCAGAAATCACCCAGAAAACCGCACGGACCGCACGTGCAAGTGACGTTGAGTTATCCAATCTTGGGGCTAGGCGAACCAATGCACACCATACACAATCCTTTTCTCACTCAATGGGAATTTCAGGATCCTAAAATGGAGGTACTGTACCATATAAGGCCATATTTAGTGGGGATATTCCCTTACATAGGCCTTATATATGGTAGGTACCTCCAATCAATCGGTTCCTTAGTCATGGCCATTGACTCACTGTTGCTGATTGGGTGTACCATCGATACATGTTTTTTTTCCATCGATGGTTGAGACAGATCCAATTCCAGTGTTGAAACTTTATCCAAATCAAACACATCTGGTAGGTGACCTACCCCTCTGAAAAATGATGGAGATCGTCAGTTGGGAGTATTTTAATATGATTCCCAATATATGGGAAGTCATAAAATGAATGTTCCAAACCACCAACCAGTGTTTTAATCAAACATGGTTCATCCATTCTTTGAGATCCAAGAGCTCATTATGTTTTCTGTAGTTTAAAGATTGCCTTAACAAAATATAGAGATGGTGATTGGTGATTGTCGCACCATAGTGTCTCAAACATTTGACATGTATTCTCCAAAATCGGTGCCATAGCACCATAGTACTCTGGTATCCCGTTAATTGTGACAATTATATACCCAGTCAACCAGCCATATAATATACCAGGTGTGTATGTGTGTAAATTAATATTCCCCTATAGTATTCAATAAAAAAAGTGGTCTTTTGCCGTTTGGAGGGGCATCTACTGAACATACCTGACATGTTCGGCCATTTGGGGATGATCCCCCTTGCATTCACCATCATTCATCTGATTCATTCGTTTGTTCAGGTAATTATTGCGATATCGCACCATTAGTTATCTCAACATTAACTATACCATCCAGCAATTGGTATGGTTTATCACTAAAAACACATGGCATATGGCATTGATGATAGTAACCATGAACAAAACATATGGGATTCTTAATCATTGTTAATAAAACATTAATAGCACATGAAATTACTAATCATTATTAATTAATGATTATTATATTGTCAATGATTATCCCATTGAAATATATAATCCATGATAATCCCAATTTGTGCATCATCACGTTCTCTGTTTTCGACCATAACGGGGCCATAGAGTTGGTAATTCAGCAATCAATATGTCACTGCGCGACGCTCCCCAAACAGCTCCTGCAAAACAAGCCACTCGTCACGCCAGATCCAAGGCGGACATACTTCAGGACCCGGGTGGCCATTGCAGCGTTTCCTGCGGCGTCTCCATTGCCATCATGTCGCTCCAAGATGACCGGACCCTATGGGGCCGCTTGGTGTCGCTGCGATTGTCATGGGCCATCTCCAAGGTCCAAGTTCCAAGGTGCAAGGCAATCAGCGGCAACTCCGATAGGTCCATGATTCATATCCTTAACTATACCCATGACGGATCCATGGTGCTGGTATATATGCTAACATGACTGGGGTATATTGATGGGATCCATGTTACCATATATAGCAGCACCATGGATCCTATGGGATAGTTATGGGGACCTCATTTCATGCTGGAGATTCCTCCATTAGGCTTGAAATCCTAAAAGTTGCTGGAAAATCCCTCAACATCCCTAAAAAGACACCTGAAATTCTCCAAGGATCCCTAAAAATCACATTTTCAGAGGTTTCCAGAGATTCCATTGAGAATTTTCCCTCAACATCCCTATATCTACACCTAAATTTCCCATCAAAATCTCACCAAAATTCGCTCCCGGAGCTGTCCCGGCTTAACTTTTCGCCTGTTCTTCAGCCGTCGCAGGATCAACAGCAAACAGCTGGGAATGGCCAAACCTTGTAGCACCTGGAGCACGAAAGCGAGGTGGAAAACCATGGGGATATTCCATTAATCTAACTGGATATAATATGTACTGGAGAATAAGATTTATTGTTCCAACTTTTTGTTTTTTGGCAATTTTCCTTGATTTTTGTAGTTTGAACTCAGCCAGTTACCCTCTGGTAATTTAACAGTTTGCTATTGAAAATGGCCATTGAAATAGTGGAGTTTCCCATTAAAAGTGGTGATCTTCCATAGTTGTGTAAACGCTTACCAGAGGGTACCTGGATATTCAGAATATGATAGGGATCTGGCTTGCCCAGTTGTAGCTATTCATAGATATTCTATAGATTATCATATTCCATTCATCTAACTGCTGGTTGGTGGTATACCTACCCCTCTTAAAAAAATGAGTTCGTCAGTTGGGAGAATGACATTCCCAACTGAATGGAAAAATAAAAGCCATGTTCCAAACCACCAACCAGTAACTGGATTTCGGGAAATTTGAGGGATATTCTACGATTTATGGTAGATATATCTATCCCAGATGCTCCACGCATGGAATATTTATTGAATGTTATTATTAACATTTATAGCCCAAAAAACACTCAATGTAGGTAAATATCCCATACATGGAGCACCTGGGATATACAACTGGATTTATAAGAAAACTCCATTAATCTAACTAAGAACTACTTAGATGGGCCCTGGGAAAAGTTAAGTGGTTAGTACCTTGTGAAAAAACTAGCTAATTAATGGATTATCACCCAGTTACAAACTAATTAGTTAAGTAATCCCATGGCCAATCTGAGTAGTTCGTGGGTAAATTTTGCATCTGAAAGAAGCCAGCTATATTGATGGGGAATATCTTTAGGTCTTTAAAGAAAAATCTAGAATATGGCTTATATATATATGGAGGTTTCCTGAAATAAGGGTACCCCCAAATCATCCATGTTAATGGTATTTTCCATTATAAACCATCCATTTTCGGGTACCCTTGAAGCACCGCAAAATCGACGAATTCCGTGCATGGCCTCTCGTGCCCTTGTGCTAGCTGGCCAGGCTAGCACGGCATGTTCCTCCTAAGAGTACGGACAGTGCCTGGCCTCTTGCCAGACGTAGGTGGCCAGCCACGCCGGAAGTGAGAGCGCGAAGTACCCTATATAGGCAAAGACGCGCCTCATCCGGCGTTGGTGCGCCGCCCCCTGTGCTTCCTCGAGCATGCAAAACTCATTTGGATTTGTAATTGCGAGAATCAAGTAGTCCAAGACAAGGAGGCTGACCGTCACCACAACGACGCGCATTGCAGGGATCGGCCGACAACCCTAGTGGGTGCATCGTTGGTGGTGCCCACGGGTCATAGCTTCCTTGGCACAACAGCTCACTGCCATTCGCTTGGCTGACTGGTTGCTGCCGCCTCTGACCTCTTTTTATTAGCGATTTGCAATTCACATTTGATAATGTTTCTAAGCTTGTGAAAATAAACCCTCAGATGAAACCAAGAAATACTATAGTAACTACAGACAAGTTTGGCTTCCAGGAGATTTTCCTGGTGCCTTGTTGTCGAAAATCTAGTGACTAGTGGCCTGAGGATAAAAACAAAAAACAACATTCACTTTAAATTTATTCACTGGAATAAAAATATCATTCACCGACTTGGTGGTTTCATCTGAAAAATATGAAAGGATCATCATCCCAACTATTGGGGAAACCAAAATTCATGTTCCAAACCACCAACCAGTCACTGACATATGCTGGACGTTTGCCACATTGATGTGCGGATTCTGTATACACTTCCACTTGTCTGGGAATCCTATGGGGATGGGTCATAAGTCACCCTTTTGTTCACACCAAAATAGCTGGGATTTCTGGATGTTCATCCCCTAACAAATTGTACCTACAGGATCCTATAGCTGATCCATAGCCGGAATCCCTGGAACTAAGTGCCTCAGACATTCACCCGTTTTTTCTTCTCCATCGCCCGGAAAAAA